TAAATCCCTTCCTTGGTCTCAATCATGACAGCCAGATACGTCTCGTACCCACGCTTCATGCCTTTCTTGATCTGCATAGCCGAGCATGCGGCAATCCCTTTTTCCTTACCTTGATCTGCGTACCTGCCTCTCACAAAGCCAGGCTTCTCTTCGTCGTTGATCATCATCCCTCCTAAATAGGGAAACACTGCCACCCTTGCAGCAAGGAGAAACTCATTCCCCAAGATCAGGTCAAAGTCATCCAGGGGCAGAACTGTTAGGCTACAAACTCCCAACCAGTCTCCGACTTTGAGTGAGACATCTGCCCGACCAGTAACATCTCTGGCCGCGGCATTCACCGTCTTCATCTTGGAACTATTCTCCTCAAGTTCAAGTCGCAACTTGGGAATCAACCTTTCCGCAACAAAGTTATGACTTGCACCAGTGTCAACCATCGCCAAGATCTCGACACCGTTGATCTGTACATTGACGTACATCAACCCCCGGTTAACCACCCGCTGGGGTCTCTCGTTCATAGCAGTCAGCAACTGAAGAGGGCTACAATGGGACGGGCCAGCACCCTAGTCCTTCGATTCCCCTTCAACCATGGCATTTATCTTGGAGGCTTTGGGACAATCACGCTGAAAATGGTCTCCGCCACATGTCCAACACCCGGACTGGGACTTGTCCCTCTTTCCTCCATCAGAAGAAGACTTCGAGTCCTTCTTCTTAGACTTGTCCTTCCCACCATGTTTTGCCTTGCAAGTCTGGTCCTTCTTGCCGTGGTCCCCCTTTTTGCCTTGAGGGGCCGTTGCCTTGAAGTCAACCAAACTCTCCGCCTCAGCCATAGCCGTGGGTAAGTCTTTCACAGCCAGTCTCCGCAACTCTGCCTGTGCCCATGGTTGTAAGCCACTCATAAAGTTGAAGAGTTTATCCTCGTCGCTCATGTTCTGAATGTCTAACATGAGTGAGGAGAACTCCTTCACGTACTCACGGATTGAACCGCTATGTTTCAGTTTCTTCAACGATTCCCGCGCCATCCAGGAAACGTTATGTGGAAGGAATTGTGCCTTCAATTCCCGCTTGAGCCCTTCCCATGACTCAATGCCTTGCCTTCCAGAAGCCACATCGTCCACCGATCTGCCTCGCCACCAAAGCTTAGCATCCTCGGACAGGTACATAGGAGCAATCACAACTTTCTCCTCTTCCGGAATCTTGGCAGCCTTGAAATATTCCTCCATGTCCCAAAGGAAATTCTCCAATTCCTTTGCGTTTCGGGCACCAGCGAAACACTTCGGCTCCGGAACCCTGACTTTTGAAGAATTGCCATCCACACCCGGGCGCGAGCCCGTTGCCATGGCTTTCTTCAAAATCATAATCTCGGTTTTGAGAATCTCATTCTCGTTTTCAAACTCCATCCTCGAGGCTTCCATCATCTCAAGCCGCTCCAACACGGGCTTAAGTGCATCCTCGATCAGGCTTTGAATAAAGACCCTTGCGGTGTCCGGACTTTCCTGGTCGCCCATAAACGAAGCGCTGTCGTCAGCCATCAGCTCTGATACCAATTGTTACACAGGGAAATTCTGGACTTAGAATTTTCACTTGTGTACGGCCTATCTTAACCCTTAAGATAGTCAGCCTAACTCACAAACCTGTTTTTCTTAGGTTTAGGGATACTTAGGACACTTAGAATATACTCAAGGCACACACAACACTTTTCGGTCAACGACCAACCTTGTATTAATCTCACAAAATAATACAAAGGACAATACAAGCAATGCCACGCACTCTTGCCTACAAAACTCGTGGTTATGCCGCGGCGCAATTTATAGACCGGCCAGGTCTGGCAGTTACAAGCCAACTGCCATAGCTAAAGGACGCGTCTCTTCGTTGGGCAACAGTTGAAGCCGCACAGCCAATGCCACCGGTTCGCTCCCTTGGTGCATCCGTTTGCTTCATGCCGCGGCGTAAACCCGAACCGTCGCGTCTGTTCGCCCCATAACCGTCAACCGCCTTCAGCCTTGAGTCATGCCGCGGCGTAAACCCGAAACGTCGCGACCACTCATGCTAGCATCCATGCCGCGGCCTAAATCAAGCCACCCACGAGCTAACTGTCACTTGCCTTAGCTCCTCAAAGCCATCTCCGTTGCCTTGCCCCACGCTTGCCAAAGGCCCTGCCTTGCATGCCGCAGTCAATCAACACCCGATGCTCACGAACTAAGGGACAACCTTGATGCCACACCCAATGCCGCAGTCAAGCCAAGGCTAACTTGACCCGCCAAAGACCCTCAGAACTTAGAGGTCTAACAGATAGTATGGTTGATTTTGAAAATCTTATCTTTTCTAGATCTACTTTAGAGTGTGGTATGCTAAATTGCATTTGTTCTTAAGCAAAACATAGATTTTGCTTAAGTTTGATCGAGGAATGCCCTTCTAATGATCTACGGTACAATTTTGCAATATCTATACGGAGTATATGTTTACCTTCTACATTGATTGAGAAAATTCGTTTAATATGCAATGTAATTTGTCACCCGCACGAGTAGTTCAACGGTGGTTGGGTGAGATTATTAGTTTGAGGTTTTAGGTTCAATTCCCGACAGTGGCAGTGTGAGACATTCAATGTGGTGGCTCCTTTTGCGCAATTGATTCTGAATCATCTCACTCAGAAATCGTTTGAGTTCATACTGTGACTTACTCTTACACCGTTCTGTCGAACCGAGCGTAGGGCTCCTGAGGTAATTTGCCTTTGTGTGGACGTCGGACATTTAAACATTGGGAAATGGGGTACCTTAAGAGATTCCATTCAACTTTTAGTATGATTTGGTTGGTTATGTTGACTAACATCTATCATGTTATATCTAATACGGAGTAATTATGAAGTTTATCAATTTGGTTGCAACAAGGCCCACTATAGCAACTGCCAATAAAAGGTTTTAGGCAACCCCAAATACGACAAGGCTCACTCGACACCTAGCCTATCAACCACATATTAAAGTTGGTGTGCCTAGTTAATTAAATAAGAATCCTAAAATATACGTAGTTGTTAAGGATGAGTACACATGAGTACGATGTAGTTTTAGGCGTGACCACATTAGTAGTTTGGGGTTTGTCCGTTTGTTTCAAATACTTTTAGAAAAAATCTTATCTAAGATATTGCGATTTTAGTTTTATACTGGTATATGTCTAGTCTATATACTAATGATAGTAAATGTTGTTCTGTTACTTTTTGTTTTGGTTATCTTACTTTTAATTTTGGTTAATTACTTCAAAATGAATGTCATACTTTTTTGACAATAAATGTGTGATCTCTATTATTTTGACTTAATTTTATTCAAAATCTCAATCACAATTTTATATTTTATTTACTTTATTAAGCTCCTTTTGTTGACATTGTTTTTTCATTTGGATCTTACGTGACCCTAACGTCAAATCTGATGTGGTCATTTTGTTATTAGTGCTACTTTCCGACTTCTAACTTTGAGGACTAGAAATCCAGAAAACGTTGAGTACAATATATTCCTTCCACATTGTTTATTACTCCGTATAATTCATTCTCCAGATTATAATTTCAGGTAAGTACTCCGTATAATTGTATACTCTAAGTTAAAAACGGCATATTTTTAATTGCAATTGTGTTTCTAAATGTCAATCTTTTACAGGGTGCACTATATCACATTTTAGAATTCTAGAAATTCCATTATCTTTTGAATTGTTGATAATTGAAGTTTAGGAATTGCTACTTAAGGGGCTTTTCATTCAGTTTGACTTAGACTAAAAAACCATTATGATCGGCCATGCCGGCTACCGTCATTTGCGGTGCTTTAGAGTCAATTTTTGTTAAGAAATTTTGTTAACATGTTCTTTTTGAGATCCAAAATTTAGCTCAAAATTCAACATGATGTCAATTAAATAACTTATTGATAAGCACTGCATTTTTTATATACAATTTGAGAATATATTTTTAGCAAATGCGACTTAGATCGGACTACAAGGCGGTGTTTGTAATTTGTGAAAGGCATTTGTCATGGCGTCATAAAAAAACCTCGTTGATCAGAAATGACAGTCAAAGGGGACCAAGTTTGAATTGGAAATGGAAATCATTGGAAAACAGGAAAGTGTGATAGTAATAAAAATGTGGAAATAACGTAGGCAATAAGGAAAGCGACAATATAATTAATACTGGCTTTGGGAAGTAGTGGAAGGGTAAGCTGATAGGAGCTTGATGGAGGTGGAAGTCACTACTCTTTCTGCAATCTGCGTCATATTTCACGAGATGGCCTCACTTACGCACGGGTATTGTGTAATTTGTGTTGATTTCCATCGGAACTTTTTTGCAAAGCCGCCACCACTTAGGAACCCCGTCGGGGCAAACCCAAATCGACCCGGAATCATATTCGGTAACCACTTAGGGGTGGATCTGGGTCAAGGCTTGCCTATTTCGAGGTTATTTTGATTCCGGGTCGGTTTAGGTCCACCGATTGGTTCCTCTTTGGTTTTGATTTTTTTGTTTTTCACTTTTTCTGTTTTTGTTAAAGTCAATTTTTTTTTGTATTTGTCTTGAAAACTGAGTTTTTTTCCCGAATTGACGCGAATTAATCAACTATTTATCGAAATAATGCTGGGTTAAAAGTGTTTACAAATATACGGTTAGGTTTAATCCGGGTTGGGGTAAGTCGTCAAACCGTTTTGCAACTTATAAGTCGTCAAACCGTTTGGCGACTTAGGATGTTTTTACTTGGAATGTAATTTGTCCCAGACCAGACAAGAACAGACCAGACTTGGAAAGTTATAAAATACAAAGAAATCAGACCAGACCAGACCAGCAAATTACAGTCCAAGTAAAAACATTCTTACCCCATGCACCTGCAGCAACACTCCTACAACAAAACAGAACACACATGTTCATAAACAGATGACATACAAAACAGAAATTGGTTACAATGATACACAGTAACACACCTGCTCAAAAACATAGTATAAAAACACGATATAGACATCCAATATGCATAACCAAGCACATCAACACATCATAAACAAATGAATAAGTTTAGTGACACAATATCCAATAGTTTGCAAGTGGAAATACGCAAAAAGGTAAAGTCTTTCTACAACATTCGGTGTACATGAATAAGTCCAATAATAGAGATAGACTCAAGTTTTCATGGTCTTCTTGATCGTCTTGGTCATGGAGATGTGATTGTTGACGCAAACGCCTATGCCGCTGTCGTGGTAGAAGAACAACTCCGTCACGCTGAGTCTGAGATGTAGAAGTTGTTGCTACGGTAGATGTAGTTGCCAAGCAAATTCCAATAGCACGTTTTTTTAAGCAAATTCCAATAGCACATTTATTAAGGTAATGGATTTATAATTCTCATTATTTCTTTCTCCTCCAACCAAATCCCTATAGCACATTTTTTACTTTTTATTTCACAGCCAAATTAAAGTAGACAATGTTCAAAGAAATGGAGGGAGCATATGGTTTTCGAGTTTAGACCCTCCTGACCTCCTTCCCTATCCTTTTAGTTTTTAATGAGTTTGCATCTCTTTTAAAATGATCCCAATGCTTGAAATGAAAAACAAAAAAGAAAAAAGACTAAATCGGGACTGGACTAGTCAGTTTTGATCCCGAAAACGCAGTCCGGGTTGGTACTTGTGAAGCGTCCCCAGGGCTGGTCTCCTAATTGATTCGCCCAGACTGGTCTGGGGAACCGGCTGGTTCGGGTGTGATAAGTTCTGAACCAGGACACCCCTAATTCCCAACACTGGATACCTTAGTTTATTTATGCAAAATATTGACTTTATTTTTACTCCAAGGAGTTTTGGGGGGAGGGGGACTGAGGGAGCCTGAAGTAATATAGGCTGAAACTCACCCCATTGAATTTTGAATCCGAGACCTCCCGGAATGGAGAGTGAGTCGGCGACCAGCTGAGCTGGAACGCTTCCTCATATTGACTTGTTAGTTTTAGTAAATAAATTTGTATTATTTACTGTCCAAAATGTATATCAACTTTGTCAAGTCGGCGAAGTCGCCAAGTTGGAATTGTTTAATTTTTGAGTAATTATTATTAAGAACTACGTACATGCTATGCTAATTATCATTTCTGGTTTATGATCAAAGCATATGTTTCCCCATCTTGGAAATGCCATGCTACAAACATTTTAGTTTTAACGAAGAGAAGTTGTTTCTTGTTCGGGTTCCGCCTTGCTAGTAGCATCACAATCTTCCCTTTGCTAATTACGACACTCCCAGCCATTTTCCCTTTCCACTCATTATTTTATGGGTAAAATATATTGTAAATATAAATTTTTTCACAATCCAACAAATTCACCTAATTCAATTGTTTCAACCACAATTTCTGAATTTCACTAATTATAGCGTTTACCAAACAAATTCTAAATTCTGTCAATTTCAGTTAATTCAAGAGAATATTATCCGAAATAGAACTAAAATGGTTTGAAAATTCCAAAATGGGACTGTCATGTTTTTATTCTCAAAATTGGACTCATTAATTTCATGTTTTGGCAGTACCAGACTTCATACATGGCAGCATTTTCCAAACTTGACAGTAATTACTTCTATTTCGGGAATAAAAAAACGTGACAGTCCTATTTTGGAATTTTCAAATTGTTTTAGTCCTATTTCGGAACTTTCCCTTAATTCAATTGTTTCAACTAAAATTTCTAAAGATAATACTTTAGCCAATTTCATCAACAGGTCCAACCATTCCATTTAATTTTAGTGTTACTAAACAAACACAAAATTTTAGTTTTAATAATGGCCTTTTTTTCAAATTGTGTCGTTTTGACTAGAGTAAAGAAACAAACACAATTTACAAATTACAAACGACATACGAACTGATCAAAATCAAACAAAATTTATGTGTTCCGATTTGCGGGATACTCCGTATGTGTTGCTTTTTACAACCGGCTGAGCCAAAAAAGGAGACTCAAACTCTATGAAAATTGAATTAAGTTAAACGGATCAAAACCAAATTGGTTTAAATCACAATTCTTAAAATTGACCTAGTCGGAACGATCCTAGTCGGCCCTTAATGTAGAGCACTAATCAGTCTAGTTGGTCAAAAAATCGGCTTGGTTAGTTAAAAAGTCAGTCTAGTCGGTTGTCTAGTGAGTTTTAGAACAAGGAAAAGTTCACATAAATAATCCGAACTATTAGTGTTCTTCCAAGATTAATCCCTAATATGCATAATTCTGTAATAATCTCAAATTGGTGTGGGGTCTTCTCTAATTGATCTCCTTTACCCACCACCGGTTAAACCGGTAAACAAAATAGAAAAAGAACCACTATTGGGTGTGGAATCCGCATGACACATTTCTTCCCAAAAAAGCTCTCGTTCCTAGCCAGCTTGCCTTCATCTGATCTTGGAATTTGGGATGAGGATAAAAAATGGTTCGAAAAATATAAAGATTGGTATTGACGGAGCTGATTCTACGGAACAACGGGAACCATACATTTTAGGGTAATAAGGTGGAAATCCCTGGACACCCCAATTAAACGATTTTTCTACAGAATTATAAGCGAAGAAGAAAACGGAATTGAAGGAGAAGAGACGGAGATGGTGGCGATGGCGGCCAAGCTGATCAAATTTGTCAAAAAGTCTCACCAATGCTCCTTTATCTAGAATTTCTCTAAAAAAATTCAAAGAAGAAGATGGAAGAAATCGGCAGATGAAAATTTAGAAATAAGGAAGATGGTGAGATCTAAGAGGTAGAAATAGAGAAAGCAAGAAGAAAATTAAGAAAAAGAAGAAGTTTAGAAGTATGGGAGAACAGAGGAACTCCTCCGTTACAGAAGGAAGAAGGGGCGTCGTACACTGGCACAGAAGAGAAGAGAAATAAAGAAAGAGAAAAAGAAGGAAAAAAAGAAAAGGGATAAATATATAGAGTCCAATCATATTGAGACACGTGGCAAGACAACCTGTTATTTTATTTTAATTCCAGTCACGGGTCTATTTTGGGAAGATGTCATGTCTAAGTTGGATTACTTTAAAATTACTCATAGCTGGGATTAATATAGAAATAACGTTCATATGTGAAATTTTCTTTAGAACAATAATGTAAACAGAACTGGCAAAATAAAAAACCGATAAGGCTAACCATTCGAATGCACTAATTATGACAGTCTTTCTTCCACTTTGAGAGTATGTTTTTCAGTTATAAGATTTCAGAAAATTTCTCTACCATGAAATGATCAAATCGTGGAAGATCCGAATAGGGACGACGGATAAAGATCATCCATTTTCGAATTCGTTTTCTTTGGTTTATGGTATGATGGACCGATCAATCAACTTGATTAAATAGATGGGGTTGAGTTTTATAATTTTGGACGGATTACTGGCAATCAAGCTCATTAGTCATTATAGTTGGATTAATGATCTTATAAGCTTGTCCGAAATGACTAACAAATAGCTCATTTGATTCATAGTTATTATTAGCCATACAATGATTTTATTAATGAGTGTTCATAAATACACGAACACATCATACAGAATAGATAATGTGCTTTGTTACAAATTTCAAGAAAAAATTAAGGTATACCCCTTTTACTCAAAATAAATTAGCATTAGTACAAAAAACAACATTTTTGTCACGGATTTTTATCCCGGATTTGGTTCGTGACAAATTTTTCACCGTTTTTGTCACGGATTTTCTCCCATTAATAATGTAATTAGCATTTAGTAAGTCTTTCCTTATTTTAGTTAGTTTCCTTGTTATAGGATTCCTATTGTATTAGGTTTCCTAATGTAATCTAAACACTTCTCTATTATATTTATGACACTCAGGGCTACCACATTGGTAAGTTTGCCATTATTCTCACATGGTATCAAGAGCCCTAGGTTTTAGCCAGTAATAAAAAAAATCGGCCATCATGACCTCAGCCGCTGCCACCGCATCAACTACCGCTGCGGCCACTACTTCTCTGCCGCCGCCAGTCAGCGATCCGCCGGTCTTGAGCGCAGTAGCCGAGCAGCTCGACCCGAATATCGAGACAACGCCACCGTTAACGGATCCTCTTCTTCCCTTGTCGTTGTTCTCCTCTGCGTTCGTCCCAGCGCCAACTTACTCCTCCTGGGCACCGCCAATAGTCGCATGGACACCCACTGCTCCAACTCTCCAGCCACCGCCGTTGCTTCTCAGAGAATCCAGTACTGCGGCCGCTGCCCGAGCTCGGTTTGCCGGCCCTACACTCTCCGGCAGTCTGGGTCTCGTCCTTCCACATCAGTCTGGCACGGTTGGTTCCCGCTCGGTTGTCCCTTCAATACCGGAGTACTTTGCTTCGTTGGCTCAAAGAATGGGGTTTGGTGTTCCATCCATCACCAATATTGTGACTACAAAATTATCTGCCGTTGAAGATTATTTGCCTTGGAGAACTCAATTTAAGTTGTTTTTGGTTTCCAACGGTCTGTTAGGCATCCTTGATGGCTCACTTCCGGCACCAACCCCCTATACCTAACTATTATCTGTATCAGGCTCAATCTGTCAATCCTAAATACTATCATTGGTTAAAAGTGGACCAGACTGTTCGTTCTTGGCTATTTGCAACTCTCTCCCGGGAAATTCTTATTGAGGTACATCAATTAAAAACTTCTACCTCTATTTAGAAACGTTTAGAGTCCAGATTTATGGCTGCCACTCTGGCCCGCTCCATGGAATTAAAACAAATGCTGACTCACATGAAGAAGAAAGATACGCAGTCCATGGAACAATATTTGCTAGAATTACAAAACATTGCTGATGACTTGGCCTCTATTAATTCTCCGGTGTCCGATCATGACCTTATACAACATGCACTTTTGGGGTTGGGACCGGGTTACGAATCACTTGTCGGTCCACTTACACTTTTCCCGAAAGGACTCACATTCGATAAGCTGTGCACGAAACTCGTCCATCAGGAGGGCCGGCTTCACTTCCAGCAGCGGCTTGACTCCAGGCATGCTCTTGGGTTTGCTGCTTCTTCGGCTCCAGTCGAGTCGGATTCCAGGAACCAGCAGCAGCAGCCTCAATGCGGCCGAGGTGGACGGGGTCGTTGTCCACGTGGCAGAGGAGGTCGCGGATGTGGCCGTTATCAGCAACAGCAGTTCTACGTCCAGCATGCTCCGTCGTATGGACATGGGCCGATGCCACACCCTCACTCATCTTCTGGCCGGGGCATCCACCATCATATTATTCGGGTCAACCGGGTACAGTATTTTGTAATTCTGTTGAGTCATTGTCTAATACTTATGCCTTATCTACTTTTGGTGCTAACACTGGTTATGTAGGGTCCTCAAATTTTTAGAATAGTCTTGGTTCTGTTCCACCACCTGTCGTCCGTCAAATATGTCATTCTCCAGGTCATTCCTTTGTTTCTTGTCCATCCCGCTTTGCTCAACTACAGGCTCATGATTTAGCTGTTCCCACGGGTAAAGTCTTTCCAACTGTTTGGTATCCTGACTCCGGTGTGTCTGCTCATGTGACCTCTACTGAAGGTATTTTGCATAATAAATCCATTTATTCTGAACCGCTAAATGTTACGGTTGCAAATGGTTCTAATTTACCCGTTATGACTGTTGGTAAAGTGACTTTATCTGCTTTGTCTAGGCCTCTCCCTTTAAAATCTGTTTTACATGTGCCTCATCTCAAATATAATTTACTCTCCATTCAAAAATTATGTGCCGATAATAACAATCTGTTTTGTAATTATGTGCCGCCCCTGACCCTGTCTGGCACCGTCGATTGGGACACTGTGGCAGCCGTATTTTAGATAAACTTAAAAAGTCTCAGTCTATTTTTAGTACTTCTAATTTTCCCATGATTGTATTTCTTGTTGTTTAGGAAAATCACAATGATTACCTTTTCAAGAAGTTTGGCATAAATGTATTGCTCCTTTATTTGTGATTCATTCTGATGTGTGGCAATCTCCAGTTCTGTCTGCGAGCGGTTTTAAATATTATGTTTTATTTACTGATGATTATTCTTGATTTACTTGGCTCTATCCTATGCGCAATAAGAGTGAAGTCCTAAAACATTTTACTCATTTTAAATTAATGGTGGAAAATTTACTCAACGCTAAAATTAAAATTTTTCTAAGTGATGGAGGGGGTGAGTTTGATAATCATGGTATGCGTAATATTTTTCTTCAGCACGGTATTTTATTTCGAAAATAGTGTCCTGACACTCTTGAACAAAATGGGGTTGCTGAACAAAAACATCGACATCTTCTTGAATTAACTCGCACTATGCTTTTTGAAGCAAAACTGCCAGCTAAATTTTGGGGTGATGCCGTTTTTATTGCTACATATATTATTAATCGCCTCCCTACTCCTAACTTAAATGGTTCTTCTCCGTTTGAAAAATTATTTCACCACCCACCAGACTTCTCTTTTATGCGTACTTTTGGATGTGCTTGTTTTCCCAATTTTAATGCCACTTCTGCCAATAAACTCTCTCCCCGATCCACTCTTTGTATATTTCTGGGATATGCCCCTGAATATAAAGGTTATCGTTGTTTGGATCCTACTACTAACAAGATATACATTAATCGAAATGTTAGTTTTTTTTAGAATTATTTTCCATATCCGGACTTAATTTCTTCTACTCATAAATTGGCTTTGCCTACACTGTCCACAAACTCAACCGTTCGCCTTCATAATTTTTCCCTCAATCAGTCTGTCACTTCTACCTTATCCACGGATTCCTCACCGGTGTCCTCTCCAGATTGTTTGCCGGCAGGACCACCCTCCCCACCTCACGGTCACCACCAAAACATCAGTCCAACCTCCCCTTCCGGCCGGACCAATACACCAGCTCCCACTCCCAACTGGCCAGACCATGCCTCGCGGCCATCCTCCCCTTCACTGCCTTCGAACCATCCAACCGATTCACCACCCGGCACCACCTCTCCGCCGCAGACTTCTCAGCCAGACCACACCTCAACCGAACAATCAGCCCCGACACCTCCCTTATTCCCAACTCATCCCGTCTCATCCCATGCAAACCCAATCTAAGTCGGGAATTTTTAAACCAAAATCCATTTTGACTCTTAAAACTGTTAGAACTATTTTATTGTGAATCAAGTTTGTCTATTATGTCTTGTTTATTTAATAGATTAGGTATAGCATTTATGGTATTATTAATTATGTAATAAAAAGGTTGTAAGGGAATAAGGTCCAAAAAGGCTTCAGGCCCAAACTTCTAGGTTACCACTTTAGGTACCTTCACTGCGCCTATAAATATGTGCGTTAGTGTACAGGTCTAAATGTCGACAATTCTGCTCAGTAGCCTTACGCTGTAAAAACTTCTCGATAAATAGAAAAGAGGATTTCTATGTAAGATTTCTCTGTGAAATCTTTCTTATCTGTTTATTCAATGATATCCATCTAGCTGTGTGTTAGTCTACAGAAATCTGGGACCAACAAAAACAGATATTTCGGCATGTGATCCCGCTTGTTTTTCCATGGCTACTAAGGATGAAAAATGGAGAGAGCTGCTATGGCAGAGGAGTTTAATGCACTTATTGATAATCATACTTGGGATCTAGTTCCATTTAATCCTAATAAAAATGTGGTTGGGTCTAAATGGATTTATAAGACAAAATTTAATTCTGATGGGTCGGTCGAGCGTTATAAGGCGCGTCTGGTTGCATAGAGTTTTACTCAACAGGCTGGTGTAGATTTTTCCGAAACCTTTAGTCTTGTGGTTGAACCCACTATTGTTCGTATTGTACTTTCTCTTGCTGTTTCTTTTGGTTGGCCTATTCGTCAGTTAGATGTCAAGAATGCTTTTCTTCATGGCAATTTAACCGGAGAGGTTTATATGCGTCAGCCACCTGGGTTTATTCATCCTCAGTTTCCTCATCATGTGTGTCTTCTTCGAAAAGCTATCTATGGTCTCAAACAGGCTCCACGGGCCTGGTTTTATTGTTTTAGTAGTTTTCTTCTGACCCATGACTTTGTTTGTAGCAAGTCAGATAACTCTTTATTTATTTATCGACATGGGTCTACTGTTCTCTATCTTCTTCTTTATATTGATGATATTATTGTCACTGGTAATTCCTCCTCCTTCATTACTACCTTTATTTCCTGTCTTGGTCGTTGTTTTGCTATGAAGGATTTAGGGGATTTACATTTTTTTCTGGGTGTCCAAGTTGTTTGCTTATCTTCTGGTTTATTCGTATCTCAACAAAAGTATGTGTCGGATTTACTAGCCAGATTTCATCTCCACACTCTTAAGCCTGTTCGTAGTCCACTTACTACACGAACCAAGTTGTCCCTCACTGATGGGGATCTTCTTGCTGATCCGTTTGATGACTGAAGTATGAGAGGTGTCTTACAGTATTTAAACATGACTCGACCTGATATTACATTTGTTTTTCATCTGGTTTCCCAGTTTATGCATGCTCCTCGTAGTTCACATATTTTGGTTGTTAAGTGTATTTTCAGGGCACTCCTTCACACGGTCTACTTCTTTTGAACTAGTAGTAGAGGTTGAGTTAGTAGGGGTTCAAAATAGTAGGGGTTGAACTAGTAGGGATTCGGTAGTAGGGGTTGAACTAGTAGGGATCAAAATAGTAGGGGTTGAAATAGTAGAGATTGAGTAGTAGGGGTTGAACTAGTAGGGATTGAGTTAGTAGGGGTTCAAAATAGTAGGGGTTGAACTAGTAGGGATTGGGTTAGTAGGGGTTCAAAATAGTAGGGGTTGAATTAGTAGGGATTGGGTAGTAGTGGTTCAATTATGTGATAATTTTTCAGCATCATATTTGTCTACTAATCCTATTCAGCATGCTCGCAGAAAACACATCAACATTGATTATCATTTTGTTCGAGAACGTGTGTCACATGGAGATCTGGTTGTCCGACATGTTCCTACGCAGTTCCAGCTTGCTGATATTTTCACTAAGTGTTTGTCTCCACAACATTTTGATATTTTACGAGACAATCTGCGCGTTGTTTTCCCGGCCTGCACAAATTGAGGGGGTGTAATAATGTAATTAGCATTTAATAAGTCTTTCCTTAGTTTAGTTAGTTTCCTTGTTATAGGATTCCTATTGTATTATGTTTCCTAATGTATTCTAAACACTTCTCTATTATATATATGATATCCAGAGCTACCACATTGGTAAGCCTGCCATTATTCTCACACTCATGTCACCAAAAACCTTTGTCATGGACAAAACCATGACAAAGTTTTGTCACGGAATAATTCCGTTATTCCGTGACAACGTCCGTGAAAAAAGAGCTCCGGTGAATTCAAAAATTCGATTTACCATATTTTCACGGATAAATCCGTGACAAACTTTGTCACGAACATACTTCTGTGACAAAAGTGAAACCGACATCTTTCTCCTGTGATCTTTTTGTCAGGTATTAATCCGTGACAAATCATGAAAAAGCTTTGTCACAGATTCCAATTCGTGACCATTTTTAGTCACGCCTGTGACGTCACAGAAAAAATCTATGACAAACTATGATAATTTTTTTTGTCACGGATTCTTTATACTACGATTCGTGACAAAATCCATAATAAACTCGCCGTGTTTTTGTAGTGCCTATACAATACTAAAACATGGCTAAAATGCTAAAGACTGAGTAAGTCTTATTCTTGTTTAATGAATGATACGCTCCTATTTAGAGTATTCAACATTTGCATATTGTGTCAAAGGTACACCTATTAGAAATTTTTAACTCCCGTTTTGCGGTTGAGATGATATTTTATGTATATTCTTTACTTCTACAAGTTATCACTACAAAAAAACACGGGATTGACAGAGATTTTGGCAGGGATTATGCAAAATCCGTGCCAAAAACACTTTGGATCGAGCTATTTGGCACAAAACGTCGGAAATCCGTTCGAAATTCCGTGTCAATCCCGTGTTTTTTTGTAATGTATGGTGGCATTTTGATCAGATGACAATTTTTTGACATTCTTGATTCATTTGCTCTTATCTTAATTATAAAAAAAATTGACCCCTCTGCCACAAATTAGCTGACATTTTCATAAGAGTGTTGCATACTAACAAACATTGTAAATTTGATTTTATGGCATTTCCATCCTGACCATCCTTGAGATTATTATGAAATGAAGTGGGTTGAGGCTGATTATTGTTGGGGTCATAGTTGAATGAAAGAGATTATTGGGTTTTTCCTATAGTATGACTAAATTAAAGTTTATTTCTAAACAAGACTTCTTTTACAAATGGGAAAAAACATGACCGGTTCGGTAATAGTTGTGAAAAACAAGATGCTAGTGCTAGATTTGTATGTCAGTACCAGATGTCAATACTAAATCTTTATATAACTAGCAGATGTCACTATCCCCACTACACGGGTCACTGTGATTCAGGGGAGGACCAGGGGGGTCATGGTGGTTAGCCGACCCCGCTGAAAGTTCAAGAATGTAGAGCTCTAAAATACCTTCGATTTGATATATTATGGGTCTCGTAACTCATTACGAGTAAAAAGTTATGACTTCCGGAAAAATCAGCACCATCTTAACTTGAAATAAGCAAAATTTGACGTGTGTCATTGATTATATCTTAAATTTAAAAATAAAACACCTTATTCAGTCATTTGTGAACATTATGATACATCACACATATATCGATACATTAACTGCACCGCCTCCAGACTTCCCAGGTAAAAAAGAGGCATCCATGTTTAGTTTGAGATGAAGTATAGGCTTATTCCATCTGATTGCCTTAATTTGCGTACCTGTGATCTTGAAATCTTTTGGAATCAATTTTTTGTCAAAAAGGACCCCTCAGCTACAGATCGAACCTTAAGCCTGGAGAATGTAAAAGCCCACGCTTGTGTATAATTTTTTATTTGAGAAATTATGCTATCCGAAGTAGGCCTGATGTTCTGATTTCCCCAAATAATACTTGTATAATTTCTCCAAACAAACCATGCAAGCTATGTTTGAAGATATCAAGCACAGTCTTGGAGCCAGCTTTAAGCCACCATGTAATATAAACTTGTCTAATAGACCTATCACTTTGATTTCTAGGAACACCCATTATGCCCATAAAGTAACACCATATGGGATTAACCACCTCACACAAAAACAGAAGGTGATCCATTGAATCTTCATGCTTTCTACAAAGGGGGTAGATAGATGGGTTCAAAACACACTGAAACCTTAACATTCTGTCAGTAATTGGCAATATACCATAGAGAACCTTTCATTGGAACAACTTACCCTACCTCTGTCCTTCCCTTTAGAAGTAGCATTGTTCTAAACTGTAGCAATAAATTCATCCCCGTTGTAATAACATCCCCCCCCCCTGCTTGTTTATTTTCTTACCAGTGTGTCTGGGTGATTTGGGTTTTGGTACCCATTTTTCAGCAGCATGGCCTGTAACGACATTGTTCAGAGGCATGTCCTTATGTGCTCTCATAGGGCAGGAGCCCTCTGAGTGTCCCAGATGAAAGCAACCCCCACGGTACAATGGCCTATTCTCGTATCCAACCGATTGGCCAAATCCCAAAGATCCACACTGGATCCACACCTTTTTTGGCATCTCCTTAGAGAGATCAACCTCAACAAAAATCCTTGCAACTGAGGGTTTAGATAATGATGCTGTAGCAGCATCCAATTTTAATGGTTTACCAATCATACTTGCTATATCAAATAGCGCACGCTTATCGTGGAAATGAATGGGCAAATCGTGCACCCTACTAACATAATCCTACTAATTACCCTACTATTTTGAACCCCTACTAGCTTAACCCCTACTAACTCAATCCCTACCAGTTCAACCCTTAGGGTTGGTTTGCAACTCCTTTTAAAAAAGCACTTCTCAGCTTTTGGCTTTAAAAAAGCACTTATTTTCCCAAACACTACAACTTTTATTTTTCTCGGATTCCGCGTCAAAAGTGCTTTTACTTTTTCTATTACACAAAAAGCACTTATTTTACCAAACACTACCCACTTTTACTTTTCAAAATCACTTTTTTCTCAAACACTATCAACTTTTATTTAATCACTTCTTCCCATTTCATTAAAAAAAACACTTTTTTAAAAGCAAAAGCTGTTGCAAACTGACCCTTACTATCATGAACCCCTACTAGCTTAACCCCTACTACCCAATCCCTACTAGTTCAACCCCTACTACTCAATCCCTACTACATCAAATCCTACTATTTTGACCCCTACTAGTTCAACCCCTACTACCCAATCCCTACTAGTTCAACCCCTACTATTTTGAACCCCTACTAACCCAATCCTTACTAGTTCAATCCATACTATTTTGAACCCCTACTAACTCAATCCCTACTAGTTCAACCCCTATTACTCAATCCCTACTACTTCAACCCCTACTATTTTGACCCCTACTAGTTCAACCCCAACTTCCCAATCCCTACTAATTCAACCCCTACTATTTTGATCCCCTACTAACCCAATCCCTACTAGTTCAACCCCTACTATTTTAAACCCCTACAAACTCAATCCCTACTAGTTCAACCCCTACTACTCAATCCCTACTATTTCAACCCCTACTATTTTGATCCCTACTAGTTCAACCCCTACTACCGAATCCCTACTAGTTCAACCCCTACTATTTTGAACCCCTACTAACCCAATCCCTACTAGTTCAACCCCTACTATTTTGAACCCGTACTAACTCAATCCTTACTAGTTCAATCCCTACTACTTCAACCCCTACTATTTTGACCCTTACTAGTTCAACCCCTACTACCCAATCCCTACTAATTCAACCCCTACTATTTTGAACCCCTACTAACTCAATCCCTACTATTTCAACCCCTACTATTTTGATCCCTACTAGTTCAACCCCTACTACCGAATCCCTACTAGTTCAACTCCTACTATTTTGAACCCCTACTAACCCAATCCCTACTAGTTCAACCCCTACTATTTTGAACCCCTACTAACTCAATCCCTACTAGTTCAACCCCTACTACTCAATCCCTACTATTTCAACCCCTACTATTTTGATCCTTACTAGTTCAACCCCTACTACCGAATCCCTACTAGTTCAACCCCTACTATTTTGAACCCCTACTAACCCAATCTCAACTAGTTCAACCCCTACTATTTTGAACCCCTACTAACTCAATCCCTACTAGTTCAATCCCTACTACTTCAACCTCTACTATTTTGACCCTTACTAGTTCAACCACTACTACCCAATCCCTACTAATTCAACCCCTACTATTTTGAACCCCTACTAACTCAATCCCTACTAGTTCAACCCCTACTATTTTGAACCCCTACTAACTCAATCCCTACTAGTTCAACCCCTACTACTCAATCCCTACTATTTCAACCCCTACTATTTTGATCCCTACTAGTTCAACCCCTACTACCGAATCCCTACTAGTTCAACCCCTACTATTTTGAACCCCTACTAACCCAATCCCTACTAGTTAAAACCCTACTATTTTGAACCCCTACCAACTCAATCCCTCCTAGTTCAACCCCTACTACTCAATCCCTACTACTTCAACCCCTACTATTTTGAACCCCTACTAGTTCAACCCCTACTTCCCAATCCCTACTAGTTCAACTCCTACTATTTTGAACCCCTACTAACCCAATCCCTACTAGTTCAACCCCTACTATTTTGACCCTTACTAGTTCAACCCCTACTACCCAATCCCTATTAATTCAACCCCTACTATTTTGAACCCATACTAACTCAATCCCTACTAGTTCAACCCCTACTATTTTGAACCCCTACTAACTCAATCCCTACTAGTTCAACCCCTACTACTCAATCCCTACTATTTCAACCCCTACTATTTTGATCCCTACTAGTTCAACCCCTACTACCGAATCCCTACTAGTTCAACCCCTACTATTTTGAACCCCCACTAACCCAATCCCTACTAGTTCAACCCCTACTATTTTGAACCCGTACTAGTTCAACCCCTACTACCCAATCCCTACTAATTCAACCCCTACTATTTTGAACCCCTACTAACTCAATCCCTACTAGTTCAACCCCTACTATTTTGAACCCCTACTAACTCAATCCCTACTAGTTCAACCCCTACTACTCAATCCCTACTATTTCAACCCCTACTATTTTGATCCCTACTAGTTCAACCCCTACTACCGAATCCCTACTAGTTCAACCCCTACTATTTTGAACCCCTACTAACCCAATCCCTACT